CTTTTTTCAGTTGAGTTCTTCGCTTTAGATTTCTTTAATCAAGTTCTAATTTCTCATCAAACTTCAATATTTATGCAAGTCCTTAAAAATTTGACTTTAAAAATAATTTTTTTCTCTTGCAGTTAAACATTGAAAACTTCTATTTGAGTCCTTAAACATCTAATTTTGAATTTTTCTCCTTAAATTGAATTTTCCTTGCAATTACAACCTTTTTCAGTTAAAAATCTATTATCAAATTTTCCAATCTTCTATATTTTGATCTTCTTTAACTAGTTTTTAATAATTTTCTAGATATTTTCCATACTCTTCCTATATATATATATTGATGCGAACCTCGTGATCACATGGTCACGCAACTCACACGTAAAGATGCCAATTCCCGGAAAGCCATGTAAATCAGGTTTGATAGGAATGTGACACAAAGATAACTTGTACCTAGGCACCAGCACTATTGAAAACGAAAACCCCCACCCAATGAATAATTATTCGCGAACGAGAAGTATAAGGATGACACCACGAAGACGGTTGTTCTTCGATAAGTCGTTTTCAGTTCTTTAGAGAACCAAGGAAGGGAGATTATCCCACCAACACATAATAAGTGCAGCAAAGAAGTTTTATTAATCTGAAAATTGCGTAACCTTTACATGTTTGGGTTATGCCTTTATTTATACTGAATTTTAACTTAAAGAAACCCTAATGGACCTCCCTTAGGTGGACTTATATGTAGCCCACTTACAATTGACCCAAATAAGTAATAATAACCCAAAAACTAAGAAGAAAATTCTAAAAATACTAAAAATCCGAAAATACCATCCTAAATAAGCTAGAATCAGATTTGTCACCCTTAAGAAGTCCTAAACAAAATTGGAAAAATCTGATTTGGAAAATTTGTGTTGCTGCCCTCTTTGATGTCCTTGATTAACTTGGAATTCCTTGTTTAACTTGGACAAATAAGAAAACAAATTTCCTCCTTTGTTGCTGATTTAATTACTTTCCTTCCTAAGTGAGGAAAAGCATTAAATAGTCCTCCCCTCTTTAGGAATAAGATTTGGCCAACTTCCTTTGCTTAGTTAGGAGAATAAATTGCTGACTCTTTATCCTTGTAATATTAGAAAAAGACAAGCCTAACAAGGCTGGTATTGGGCCGGACATATCAACCCCTTGTTCCACATGAATTGGGCTCTTCTTGGACCTGAACTAAATGAATTAAAGGCTGTCCTTCATGCTCCTTAAATGTCCCAAGCCCCTCTAGGTCCATTTTGTTCCATATGTTCTGAACAAGCCCGTTCAATGCTTCTTTAAGCTTCTTAGCCCTAGCTCTTGTGATTGGCCTAATTGGCACCTCTAATGGGTTGTTGGCATGATTACGCTTGGTGTTAGGCTGATCCGCATCATCCCCTCTCTCTTCAAAAGGATTCGACCTCGAATCATCACCTACTTCAAACAGAGTAAGATTAGAAACATTAAAGGTAGCACTAACACTATACTCACCTGGCAAATCAACTTTATAAGCTTTGTCATTGATCCTCTCAAGGATCTGAAATGGCCCATCTCCTCGTGGTTGTAGCTTTGACTTCCTCTGGGCCGGAAATCTCTCCTTGCGCATATGCACCCAAACCCAATCGCCAGGCTGAAAGACAACATGTTTGCGCCCCTTATTGGCTTTGGTCGCATACACGCGATTCCTCTTTTCAATCTGTTGCCGCACACTCTCATGAAGAGTTTTCACCACCTGTGCTTTACGATTACCATCCAAACTAACCCTTTCATCAATAGGGAAAGGAATCAAATCCATTGGAGTTAAAGGGTTAAATCCATACACAATTTCAAATGGTGAAAATTCAGTAGTAGAGTGCACACTACGATTATATGCAAACTCTATAAATGGCAAACAATCTTCCCAATTCTTTAAGTTCTTTTGAATGACAACACGCAAAAGTTGTGTTAAGGTCCAATTAACTACTTCGGTTTGTCCATCTGTTTGGGGGTGACAAGTAGTTGAAAACAACAGTTTAGTACCCATTTTTCCCCATAAAACCTCCCAAAAATAGTTAAGGAACTTAACATCTCTATCAGAAACAATGCTCTTAGGGACCCCGTGAAGTCGTACTATCTCCCTAAAGAACAAATCAGCAATGTTAGTTGCATCATCAGTTTTATGACATGGAATGAAATGTGCCATCTTTGAAAACCTATCAACAACTACAAAGATGGAATCCCTGCCCCGTTTTGACCTAGGTAAACCCAAGACGAAGTCCATCGAAATGTCTACCCAAGGTTCTTTCGGTACAGGCAAAGGGGTATACAAGCCATGCGGTTGAGTCCTAGACTTTTCTTTCCTACAAGTTATGCATTTATCACATATGCGTTGCACATCTTTTTTTATTTTAGGCCAATAAAAATGCTCATGCAACACATCCAAAGTCTTAACAACACCAAAATGCCCCATCAACCCGCCTCCATGTGCTTCACGTACAAGCAATTCACATATAGAACTTAATGGAACACACAAACGACTCTCTTTAAACAAATATCCATCAAGTCTATAAAACTTTCCAAAAGCTGAAGTTTCGCAAGCATTGTAAACATTAGCAAAATCACTATCATCCTTGTACAATTCTTTTATGTGTTCAAATCCTAGAAATCTAGCATCCAAAGTAGATAAAAGAACATACCTGCGTGAAAGTGCATCAGCCACAATGTTTTCTTTCCCTTGCTTATACTTGATCACATATGGAAATGTTTTAATAAATTCAACCCATTTGGCATGTCTCCTACTCAATTTACCTTGCCCTTTCAAGTGCTTCAATGATTCATGATCAGAATGTATGACAAAGTCCTTAGGCCACAGGTAATGTTGCCACGTCTCTAAAGTTCTTACCAAGGCATAGAGTTCCTTGTCATATGTAGGGTAATTCAAGGCTGCCCCATTAATGAATGTGGTGAAGTGAGGGTTACTAAGAAGTAAAATCAGGTTTGAAAAGCGACATAACAATAACAAATGGGAATGCATATATATATGGAAAAGCATGATATAAACTGATTACTTTTTTTCTCATTACTAGAATCTGATAACTTTCTCATATCTCTCCTAAATTTTAGATTGGCAATGAGATTTATTCATGCTTTATACTTTGGTCCTCTTTCATTCAATTTTTTTTTCAAAAATTAGATATAGAAGACACAATTAAAAAAATGAAGATGAAAAAAAAAGTGCTAAAATGATAATCCTATGCATTTTAGTATATGTTACTAGACAAGTACCTATGTTATGATATGGCTTTGCATTATTTTTCCAGTAAAATATTAGGTGTTGTAAGCATATTTAAAAAAAAAAGAGGAGAAATTCAATAACTAGGGTTATAGTCTCAGAGTAACTAAATAAGTTGGATTTATTTGAATCATATGAAAAAAAAAGACTTAACGATAGCAAACCAAAAAAATTATATACGAAAAAGCAATCATGATAACATGTGATAAAAACCTTTATCCAAAAACAAAAAAACAAATCATTTATCCGGTTGTATTTAATGAATTTTTTTTATTAAAATCAATTTGTAATAGAAATCAACACATAGATAAAAATTATTGAATAAAGTAAAAGGAAAAAAAAATACTATACAAGACAACACATATTAAAAATATCATTAACACACACACAAATGAATCATAATAACCTCTTAAAAAATTAAACATATCCAATATAATTAAAAAATATATGCTATTTAAAAAAGGCTAAATAAGTCAAAAAATCACATGGAAAAGAAATTAATTAAAACATAAATTTAGAAATTATTTTTAAAAAATACATATAAAAAATATATTCGTAAAAAGATGAAAATTAGAAGGAAAAAAAATGCGTAAACCAAGCCAGGTGATTGACCTACTAAGAAAAGACTCGCACACGGGCTTGCAAGTTTAGGCCCCACACAAGGGACTTTATGTTTTTTTAAAGTTAATAGGTCGTCCTCCACATTCTTTAACAAAAAAAGAAAAGAAAGAAGATGAGGCATTATCTATTTTGGTAGATGATGCATCGTTTATAATTCTTCAGTTTTCGACTAGTTTGGTGGTCGAAAAAACAAGGTTCTTGTTTTTACTCAAAACACATAGGAAACACCTTTAAAATCTTATTAAAGCAACCCATGACCTTTAAAAATGTAAAAAAAATCCGCCCCAAAACCCATAATAAACTTAAAATAAAAACTATTCCCGATCTCAAATTATCTTTAAACGCTTTTAAGGTAAAAATAAAAAAACAAACAAACAACTAATTTTAACTCTTTTCATCATATAAAGCCATTTGACACAAAAATTAATGGTTTTAATGGTCGAAATCATCTACAACATAAATTTTCTCTTTCTACACCAGAATCCAACAACTCCATCTTTCTCTTACACAAAAAAACTAAAAAAAATAAAGTTTGATATCAATATTGAATTTTTAAAAATCAAAGGGATTAATTATCTAATAGCTAAAAAAAGTAAAGGATTAAAATATATTTTTCAAACAAATTCTAAAGCCATCATCTATTTTACCTGTCATTTTCACTTTACTTTTTTATCTTTTAATTCAATTTTTTTCTTAAAAATATATAATTGGATACTAATTTAAGCTTAAAAGAACTTAGTTATGCAAATAAAAGTTTAAGGGTCTAAATACTTTTTTTAAAAAATTCATTATTAAAATTTATGAAAACATGTTAAATGATATACCGTAAATAGCTACATATTCCTTTTAATTTAAATCATAATTATAAGAATATTTTGATTCACTTTTCTTCTTTGTAATAAATTTTTATAAAAGTTAGATATAGAATAATGTAAATAAAGAAAAATTAGATTGAATAAAAATGTGCTACATGCTTTTTTAAAAAGGGCAAATTATTTCAATTTATAATAAAAATATATATTGATATTAGTTTTATTATTGTTTTTTATAATTTTAATAATATAATATAATAAAGATAAAGATAAAATAACTAAACAATAATCATGAAGATATAATAAGATAGTGATGATGAGATGAAACCCTAGCTTCTCTCTCCTCCTCCTGTTCCCTGTTGCCACAATTTTGGCGTCTGGATCTGGTGCACTCAGCAAGAGAGGAGAGAGAAAGGTAATTGAAAAAAATGACGACAACGGCCCTGGACATGTCTCTAGACGACATAATAGAAAACAACAGGAAGTCGTCGAATTCTCGTGGCAGACCTCGTTCTTCTGGCGGCCCTGGTCCTTCCCGTCGGTTCTCCAATCGCGCAGGAAACATTACAACGCCCTATTCCAAGGTTACCATCTCACGCGTTCTTTGGATTGATTGAGTGAACTAATCATAAAAAAATATGCATATGCTTAACTATTTTGATTCGAAACTGCTGCAGCCCCAGGTCCAAGCTCCAGAGACGTCATGGCAGCACGACATGTTCACGGATAGTCCTGCTTCTGCATATCCTGCTCGTGCTTCTTCCATTGAGACTGGGACTAAACTCTATATATCCAACTTAGATTTCGGTGTTTCTACTGAAGACATCAAGGTCAGTCCTTTTTCTTTTTATTTTGTTTCTTAATTTGCAAATATATTCGACCCAAGAAAAGTAATCGAGTTACTTTAATTTTGTACTGATTTCTGTACAGGAGCTTTTCTCGGAGATTGGTGACCTTAAACGATATTCAGTCCATTATGATAGGAGTGGAAGATCAGAGGTAATCAATCAGTTCATCTACTTTCATAATCTGGAAATTATTTTTGTCCCTCGTGATTACGAAAAAGAAATGTAATTTCTCGCAGGGAACGGCGGAGATAGTCTTTGCACGGCGGGAAGATGCTGTCTCTGCTGTCAAGAGATACAATAATGTTCAACTGGATGGAAAGCCAATGAAGATTGAGATTGTGGGAACAAATATTACCACTCGGCCTGCTGTCCTTCCACCCACTAATGGCATGTATAGGAATCAAAATATTGCTGCTCCTAGAAGGTTAGCATTTTAACTTGTTCCATGACTTACATGCTGTACAATTTCTCTAGTTTAGCCTTTGTGGTGGGGTGGTGCTGGTCCGTGGTTTGGTCCGTTTTCTGTTATGCATGATTGGAGTTTATCATCACTTTCGTCATACCTTTGCTGTATTGATTGCATTAATTTGTTCTGAACTTTGCCCGTGTTTGTAATATCAGTTTCCAGCAATGGTCATTTATGTTTGTCTGTGTTTGAGTCTGTGTCCCAATTGGCAAACCCTGTGCCCCTTTTGTTTGAACTACTGAAGGGTGTTTGTGAGTGCTTGTGTTTCTGTGTGTATTATCATATTTCATTTGATTTTTTGAATTTGAATTATGTTTGATTTTCTATAATGCAGAAGTAGCCAAGGAAGGGGTGGTACCACGGGACGGCCTCGTGGTGGTGGGCACGGAGTTAGAAGGGGTGGTCGTGGAAGGGGTAGAGGTCGTGGTGAAAAGATATCTGCAGAAGATCTAGATGCTGATTTAGAAAAGTACCATTCAGAAGTTATGCAAGAAAACTGATGGCATTGCTAAGTTCTTGCTCATTTTGCTCGTTTAAGTTTTTTCCTGGAATAGCACCTTGCATTATGATGCTTTGAATTAAAGTACATGTACTTTACCAGTATGCTTCTGTTTTATAGAAGGAAACACAGTCCCAAGTGAGTGCTTAAATTTACTTTTGAAGACATGGGCATCTTCGACTAAACTTGGTTCCTGAATTTCAACTTCGTACTTGGGTTAATGGGCAGCTATTTGATGTGCTATATTGTTCCCTTCTTCTATCTAAATACTCCCATTCTCATTGATAGTATCTCTCTGTTCTTTGAAGACCTGAAATGGGTACTGTTATGATTTGAAGAAAGAGTATGCCGGCTGCAATTGATTGATGTGGATTTTCTTCATGATCGTCAGTCAGTTCCACCATGGGCCTGCTTCTGCTCATGGAGCTGGTGAGTCCACATAATTTCAAACCTAGCACTCGGGATTTTTGGTACCTACATCTTTATATGATTGATTAAATCATAGACGGTCAGTAGTTAGATGAATCTGTCTTGCTCTTTCTTGAGAATGCTAGCTTGCTAATTATGCCTTAACCTCTTGATATTTGTTGTGGATTTATGCAGACCCGCTTGCATTATTATCTGTTCACAGCATTTGATGTGATTCCTTTTGAGCTATGTTAATATTAGATTTGAATGGTTTGCAACTTGATTCAATAAGAACTTGTTAAATTAAAGTAATATAAATTAAAGTAATATGTAATGATTATTTTTACTTTACGCTTATAAATGAACGAACGCGAACAAGTAATATGAGATCACAATAAAATTAGATTAACTACGTGGAGAGTTTATAAGTTTGGTTAAGAATTTAATATGAGAATTACTATATCACAAAAGATAATAAAAATGTTGATTTTTTTTTTAAAATTTTTTTGTTAAAAGGTTTCTACAAGAGTTCTCATACTATAAAAAATCCTAAATTTAATAAAATGTCTCTAATTAATATGAATAAATCTAATAAATAATAATAATTTAATAAACTCAAATTTAAATAAAAAATTTGATATCTTTAAAAAATCTAATAATAATTAAAAGATAAATGAAATAATAGTTTAATAAGATTAAAGTTATTTTTTTAATCTATTAACAGAATCGAAGCTTAGCTTCAAACGCATGGATTTTTATTGTCTCAACGAATTAGAAGATGTGTCATATGTCAAAAGTTATGATTGTTTATTTTTCAATATAACTGAACTTACATTAAAAAAATTTTTGTAGCTTCAATTATGACCAAAATAATTATGAAAAGTCAAAATTGACATATTTGAATTTTTTTTGAATCTTTTTATAATGTTTGAATGCTCACCAACAAGTGATTCGAGGCTTGTACTTCATTATTTAATATTTTCTTGAAATTCATCTTAGTTTATTTGTCTAAGTCTATTAAAAATCTTTTTGAATCTTTTAGTTTTAAGTCTTGTCACGAAACCAATTAGAACTTATAACGAATCTGTTGGTATTGTTTGAATTGTATCATTCTTTCTTTTATTAAAAGGATTCATCCTCGAATTATCTTCTACACAAAATAAAAGGATTAAAAAAAATTGAATGTAGAACTAATGTCATACTCACATAATAGATCTATTTTATAGATATTATTATTAATTCTCTTTATGATAAGAAAAAGTCCATCTCCTCGTGTCATCAATTTTGATCTTGTTTGTTTAAGAAACCTTTTTTTTCTCATATACACCTAAACCTAATTTCATGGTTCAAACCTACTAATTTGTGATTTCTATTAGCCTTGAATGTATATTTCTCTTTTTCTTTCCTTTATATTTTTATCGTGTCTTTTTTTTTATTACTATCAAAATTAATCATTTTATCAACAAGTAAAGGAATCGAATTTAATGGTGTTAAAGGATTAAAATTATAAATAATCTTAGATGGTGAATAATTAATGGTAGAATGCACATTACAATTACATACAAATTCAATAAATAACAAACAATTTTCTCAATTTTTAATATTTAAAACAATTCAATAAATGACAAATAGTTTTCTCAAATTTTAATATTTTTTTGAATGACAACTCTTAATAATTAAGTTAAACTCTTGTTTACTACTTCAGTTTAACCATTTGTTTATAGAGGTAGTAAAAAATAAATATTTAATTCTTAACTTATCTTATAAAACCTTTCAAAAATAGTTTAAATACTTGACATCTTGATTAGACACAATACTTATTGGAACGCTATGTAACCAAACCATCTCCATTAATAATATATTATATTCATTACATCATCAGTTTTATAATAAGATATAAAATGTCTCATTTTAGAAAATCTATCCACAACAACAAATATGAAGTCTCTTCCTTGTTTTTTTTTGGTAAGTTGACGTATGTATTAAAAGAAAAGGATACAAAGATTATAAGGGGCATACCCCAGATTTACATTGAGAATATAAACGTAAAATAACAGATGGCTACAGGCTAGCCATCGAACAAAAAACTTAGACCTAACTAGATTCGTTAGGAAAACCAATACAATCAGCTAAATATCAAATGAATAATCTATGTTATTGACCCTCCAAGCTCTTTGGATCCTTTTGTTTTCATCTGTTGGTAGAACGTTTCTCATCAAATCAAGCTTATCACGGATGATACATTCGATTTGATCAAAGACCAAATTATGAGTTTTAGAGATTCCTGCAAAGGTCCTTGCATTCCGCTCTTGCCAGATATGATATACTGTAGCTGCAAAACTGAGTTTACGAGAAAAATTGACGAAACTTTTGCCATGCCAAGTGACAGTGGCCCATCGAATCCATTCATCCCATCCTTTTGTCATTCTTGGAATGTTGCATCTGTCACAAACATCCCACCAGATCGCTTTAGTATAGGAGCATTCAAAGAACAAGTGGTTGTGATCTTCGTAGTTGCGGAGACAGAGTGAGCATCTATTGGGACCATGTATACCAAATCGATGAAGTCTATCTTGAGTTGTGAGTTTCTGTTGGACAGCCACCCATAGAAGAAATGAATGTCTTGGAACAGCATTCTTGAACCACACAATGTCATGCCATTCAACCATCAGATGATGAAATCTTAGTTGTTCCCAAGCTACTTTGAACGAGAATCTGTGATTTGGTGAATCCAGCCACACAATCTCATCCTTTTGCCCTATCATAGGATTAGAATTGGAAGGAATAACTTCTACAATGGGGTGCCAGCCAATAGCTTGAGTGGTAGGAATTTTCCATTCTGAGTTATGAATCAGCATATTCACCTTCGCGTTCTTTTCCATACCTGAATCGTAGATGAATCTTTCACCGTAAGAATCCGCGAGCGGGCTGTGAGAACGCCAATTGTCAAACCATAGAGAGGTTGTCATGCCATCTCCTATGATGTACTTCATCTTCGGCTATGCTAAGGATCTGAGCTTTAGAATCTTTCCCCAAGCCCAAGAGCAATTCTGTGGCGTCTTGATTGTCCAGAAATTCCTACCTCGCAACAAATTAGATCTGATCCAAGTAGACCAGATTAAGCCATCTGAGTCATTGCATAGGTTCCAAATGTGTTTCAACAAAGCAATCTTGTTCCATTTTGTTATCCTTTTTATTCCTAGCCCCCCTCCTTTTTTGGAAGACATACCTGATCCCAAGCCACTTTAGCCCCAATAGTTCTCATATCTAAACCTCACCAAAGAAAGGATCTCATAATTTGCTCCACATTTTTTATGACTTGCCCAAGTAAGAGGAAGAGAGATGCCCAATAGACCTGGATGGAAAATAAAACTGAATTAATCAGTTATACTCGTCCTGCATACGAGAGAGTGTTCGACAAGTCCAATGTCGAACTTTAAAGGTGATTCGATCCACGAGGCCCTTACAATGAACAACCTTTAGTCTGGACGAGATAAGAGGCATTCCCAAATATTTCATAGGGAGCTCCCCCTTTGTAAACCCAAGGATACGAATAATTTCTTCCCTCTTAGCATTTAACACACCGCTCAAGAAGATATCACTTTTATTTTGATTTGGATACAGACCTGATAAATCTTGAAACTTTGTGAGCACAATTTTGATCATACAAATTGAGTTTACATCCCCTTTGCTAAAAATCATCAAGTCGTCAGCAAAACAAAGATGAGAAATGTTGTCCTTCTTGCATCTCCTGGAACTTGAAGTTTTGGTTGGCACTCATCTTGCAGAATAGCCCCGAAAGGATTTCCATACATAGGACAAACAAATATGGAGAAAGTGGATCCCCTTGTCTCCCCCCTTGAAAATAACCTGTAAGCTCACCATTGACGTTGATAGAGAATTGACATGATGTGACACAAACCATGATCCAATCAATGACTGTTCTAGGGAATCCCATTTTTTTTAACGTAGCGTCAATGAAATCCCACCGAACCGAGTCATAAGCCTTCATCAGATCTACTTTCATAGCACAACAGGCAGGTTCCGTAGATTTATGATAGCCTTTCATTAGTTCCTGAGACAAAAGAATGTTGTCGCTGATTCTCCGTCCAGAGATAAAAGCAGTCTGATACGGACCTACTAAGGATGGCAAAACAACTTTGATTCTCCTAGCTAGAATCTTAACGATGCATTTGTACACGGTATTGCAGCAAGATATAGGACGAAAATCTGTCAACCTCGTAGGATTAGCAACTTTAGGAATAAGGGAAATGGATGTAGCATTCATTTCTTTAAGCATTTTACGAGTCTGAAAGAAGGAGCTAGCAACGTTGATTACATCTTCCCCAACTATGTGCCACATTCTTTTGAAGAAACCTGCGTTAAATCCATCCAGACCCGGGGCTTTATTGTTCTTCAAACTAAACATAGCATGCTTAATCTCCTCCCTTGTTACATCTTGTGCTAATACATGTTGTTGCGTTGAAGACAGTTTCAAGTTAATTGCCGATTCCATCTCTTCCTCATTCAGAACCCTAGGCATCTGTTCCACTCTTAACACACATTGGAAGTATGTAATTACTTTTGATTTAACTGCCTCATGTCCTTTGACAACCTCTCCATCCTCCCTTGTAAGTGAAAGAAGCTTATTTCTATGGTCTTCCATTTACTGATTTGTGAAAGTAGCTAGTATTTTGATCACCCAAGCTAAGCCACTATATCCTTGCCTTCTGTTTGAAAAAACTCTCTTCAGCCCTGACAATAGAAGCGTACTTACTTTCAACATCCCTTTCTCACATGCACAAAGTTGGATTCTCATGCGCTGTATGTAGAGCCTGTTGAGCCTTATCCATTACATCTTTTGCATCTTTGACTCTATCTA